ACAAATGTGAGTGTTTCGTCATTGTATGGCTTGAAAAGCATGGATATCTAAGGATAGGGTGAGATAAGGCAGCAAGCACTTTCCTTCACCTGTGTCTAATTACTTATCATTAAAATGAGGTTCTGTGTTCCCTCTGGACCTGAGACCACAGACCCACGGTCCCTTTCGTTTTCCTGTGTATTTACCTCCTGCCATCTTCGGTTCATTCTTCTCTATCTATACCTGGAAGTCCACATTTCATCCTCTCATCCCTCTGTCATGGAATTCCCATAACGGACTTCATTTAAGTTGAAAATGTTTTTACATGGTACACTTGTGTAATTACGATGCATTTGGGGGTGATGGGTTGGCACCATTGTTCAAATTGCGGTGTGGCTGCTGACTGGTGGGGGGGGGGGTGGTGGCTGGGATGTAGTCAAGTGATGTAGTCAAGAGCACCTAAACCACGACCAAGTCATTACGAAGACCAGAGTGAATCAAGACCGAAACAAGACCAAGGCAGAGTGAGACTGAGACAAGACCAAGGCAGGGCTAGACCAAGTGAAGTCAACAGTCAATGTTTGAGTTTACTTAACACAACACAAGACACTTGCTTCTGTACTTTCTTTTTTTCAAACAAGACACACCTTATTGGTTGCATTTGAACTTTGAAGAAGGACATTTTACACCCAATCACAGTACTGTGTTAATTAACCCTTTGAAATCTATCCATTTTTGAGCATTTTTCTATCTCTTTGATTTAGGCTTATTACGATGTACAGTATGTACATGAGTTTTATTTATTTTATTTTTTTTCAGGACATTCTCGGCTACTCAGATATGTCATAATGTGATACAGGTATGTAAATTCTGACACAGGCTTCATATCATCCTTATGAGGAGAAACTAGTTGCACCTATTGAAATTTCTCAATATAAAAATTTGCATACACTACAAATAAAATCTTAGAAATGTTGAGATTAGAGTCTCTGTGATGTGGGAATTCAGGGTTGTCATTGGGGATCTTTCTATGACTTAGTATTGTGAAGGAATACATGGTTAGTGCCAGGCAGAAATAAATATGTTTGATTTCACATCCATTTGGTAACTTGAAGTTATCAGATAGACTGCAAAGTATGATTATATATCTGAATAACATCTGATGGAAACTGAAATAGAAATGCATTGTTTAGTTTATGATCCACTGAATAAACACAGGCACAACAAACGGTTTTAGGGTCTAATGCTGAATGTTTATCACAAAAAAATGTTTCTTTTTTTTTTTGGTTATACACTCTATGATTGGTGAAGTGAAATTTCAGAAGGAAACTTTTAGTCGGCATATTAGCTTCAAACAACAAACCAACACTGTAGCACGTCATTGTGTTTACATGTAGAGGGTGTTCCAATTACACAATGGGTGCGTTCTACACTCACCTAAAGGATTATTAGGAACACCATACTAATACGGTGTTTGACTCCCTTTCGCCTTCAGAACTGCCTTAATTCTACGTGGCATTGATTCAACAAGGTGCTGAAAGCATTCTTTAGAAATGTTGGCCCATATTGATAGGATAGCATCTTGCAGTTGATGGAGATTTGTGGGATGCACATCCAGGGCACGAAGCTCCCGTTCCACCACATCCCAAAGATGCTCTATTGGGTTGAGATCTGGTGACTGTGGGGGCCATTTTAGTACAGTGAACTCATTGTCATGTTCAAGAAACCAATTTGAAATGATTTGAGCTTTGTGACATGGTGCATTATCCTGCTGGAAGTAGCCATCAGAGGATGGGTACATGGTGGTCATAAAGGGATGGACATGGTCAGAAACAATGCTCAGGTAGGCCGTGGCATTTAAACGATGCCCAATTGGCACTAAGGGGCCTAAAGTGTGCCAAGAAAATATTACACCACCACCATCAGCCTGCACAGTGGTAACAAGGCATGATGGATCCATGTTCTCATTCTGTTTACGCCAAATTCTGACTCTACCATTTGAATGTCTCAACAGAAATCGAGACTCATCAGACCAGGCAACATTTTTCCAGTCTTCAACTGTCCAATTTTGGTGAGCTCGTGCAAATTGTAGCCTCTTTTTCCTATTTGTAGTGGAGATGAGTGGTACCCGGTGGGGTCTTCTACTGTTGTAGCCCATCCGCCTCAAGGTTGTGCGTGTTGTGGCTTCACAAATGCTTTGCTGCATACCTCGGTTGTAACGAGTGGTTATTTCAGTCAAAGTTGCTCTTCTATCAGCTTGAATCAGTCGGCCCATTCTCCTCTGACCTCTAGCATCAACAAGGCATTTTCGCCCACAGGACTGCTGGATGTTTTTCCCTTTGCACACCATTCTTTGTAAACCCTAGAAATGGTTGTGCGTGAAAATCCCAGTAACTGAGCAGATTGTGAAATACTCAGACCGGCCCGTCTGGCACCAACAACCATGCCACTCTCAAAATTGCTTAAATCACCTTTCTTTCCCATTCTGACATTCAGTTTGGAGTTCAGGAGATTGTCTTGACCAGGACCACACCCCTAAATGCATTGAAGCAACTGCCATGTGATTGGTTGATTAGATAATTGCATTAATGAGAAATTGAACAGGTGTTCCTAATAATCCTTTAGGTGAGTGTATTTCGACTGTATTAATGGAGCTTGACAGCATACATATATGAACTATTATGAATAAATATTGCGAAAATATCAAGTAATTGTCTTACTAATAAATAGAATGCCGTGCTTTGTTGTCATCTCTAGTAGAACTCCAGCCCATTTTTGAGTCTTTTTTTTTATCCCTTTATTTATAGACTTATAATAAATAAATGATAAAATCCCAGAAGAGTAGTGCGTGGATCATTGTGGAAGCGAATATGTGCTTTGTTTTCCATCTAATGTGAATATTATCAATGTTTTATGGATCATTAGGGGTGCTTTTTCGTGGAAAATGTTAGAAATATGTATATGCCTCATTGTGCACAGGATTACTCTGGAATATTTTAGCGCTCAATGTCGCAACTTGGATGACCAGATCGAGTAAGTTCTCTTGATTGCTAAGATGTGCGATTCACGTCTGTGCATTATACATATATTCCAATATTATATGCCAAAGTTACGAGCCTGAGATTAATGGGTGCAAAGATCAGCACATTTTGAGTTTGTCTGGTTCTAAAGGTTAACAAACAGATGCATATTAAGTCCTTGTGATACATACTGAAGTATTTTTATGAGTGTTCTTGACTGGTCTCGGAATTAGTCCTCTATGTCCAAGACCGAGACAAGACCAAGTCAAAATAAAGTCGATTCCAAGACGAGACCAAGACCGCAAAAAAGTGGTCTCAAGACCAAGACTGGTCTCCAGTACTACAACACTAGGGGATGGGTGAAAATAGGGGGTGACAGTAAGAATCACAGCAAAAGTTGTCAGCTGGGAGGTTGGGGTGGCATTCTGTTGGGAGGGCAGATTGGTGGAAAATACCCATCCCCTGCCTTCCTGTAGCCACATCCCTGACATGATATTACATAGGCCACCATGGTCTTTGTTCTTACAGTACAGGTAGTTTAATCACAGCCCTGCGGCCCACACGACATGACCTGATTGCTTGGTGAAGGAAGTACATTGCAGGGAAGAAGACAGGAGTGCAGACTTGGACTATGACTCTAATAAAAAAATGTAAAAAATTTGAGCCACACGTTCAATCTGCCAGTGCAGTCAGCAGAGGCAACTTCCCATAAGATCTTTCAGCTGACGGTGACATTTCAGTCTCTCTCTGAGTCCGCTGCCCATTACCTCCATCTTCCCAGAAGATTGGATTTTTACCAAGAGACCGTTTCAAGTCAGCTAAAGGGCGAGAGCTGGTGGAGAGAGGCCTCCACACACATGGGCTCACACTCGGGCCCCATGCACAGCCCCCCCCCACACACACACACACACAGGAACACACACACTCCAGCCTTGATGTATTCAGTCTTAGGAACAAATCAATAGCAAATGTTGAACTTGCTTGCACTTCTCTCCTGAAAATTATATCACAAACAACATAGGACTTCCCCCGGAAACGCAGTGTGCATGTTACCTTTGCCACAAGGACTGTCAGTATGCCTTTTCTGCTTTGACATTAGCAACAAATTTCAATCGCAATCCATAACACTTACTGTCAAATTTAATCACAACTATTAATGAACCCATTATAATAATAATGAAGGTAACTTTGACATTAATTGCAATCATTACTGGGGACTAGGTTACTCAATTGTCAGTTCTTGGAACTGAAAGGCCCGATCGGAAGGCCACGTTTGTTTTTTCGACAGAATGGGAGAGCGCGACAAACCTCATTGTGTCACACGTCTACTGCGGACCGATTGGATTAGTGAGAGTGCTTTCCTTTCTGAGAAGTGATGGAGCGGATCCCATGGCTTCTCAGCTTGTGCGTTATATGTGTGGAGTATGTCCTCATTTGCCTGATGCCCCATTTCCCCTGATCGAGATATACGGACGCGGCTCTATTTAGCCTGGAAATGCACACATAATAAACACAAAGACTGAGTGTTTGGCATTTTTCTTTTTGGACCCCATTTCAAGGCAATGATTAATTTCTGAGATCATGCCATACTGTGCCAAACTTAGTTACAGGGTGATTAATTTGGATCCTATGCCATCTCCTTAATAATCACACCCATAACTTATTATGACAATAATGAAACATCTCAATTGTCCATGTAATTAGGAGTATCGGTCATAAAGATGAGCAACAGTCATCTCGCATAACCCCTGCTGTCGCATTTTACCGCACGACGTCTTCGCATCTAAAGAATAAGAGAAACGCCGCTAACTTGGTGCTTTTTCCCGCACATCCTGGTCACACCGTCCACCCGAGCTCTGCTCCAATCCCAGGCCACCCCGAGCTCTGCTCCAATCCCAGGCCACTCCGAGCTCTGCTCCAATCCCAGGCCACTCCGAGCTCTGCTCCAATCCCAGGCCACTTCCCGCGGCTTGGGTGACGAGCGGCCGTCACGTGCCGTACCTTGAGCGGTGACGCATATGAAGCTCTGGCTTTTGATGCCTGGCCCGCAGGCCCCTTCACTGAGTGCGCAGGGCTCCTCAAACGCCACGTGCCACCGGAAGCAAACGGGATCCTCACACGGAATGGACTCCACGAGGTGGGGGCAGCCGCGGGATGTGTAGGCGGGCTCACGCACCACGTGCCGCCGTCTCTGCCTAAAACCTGGGAGGAGAAGGGGAACCTAGTGTTAGCATGTGGAATAGCATGGGCTACCAGACTCGGTGTGGCAGTGCTATGCAGAATATCCCATGCGCAGGTTTGCATATACGGCAGTGATTACCGCCACTTAAACCATACGTTTGCATAGGCCCCCTAAGGTTTGGGGGACCCCTGTTGGCCACAAAAAGTCATTACACTAGGTGGGCCCCAAAGTGACTTTTTGAGTTGGGTCCCAAGTAGCAACAGACCCATCCCTGATCATCTCTCCTGTAACCACTCATATATCTTCAGTGCATTTCAACACCAGCTGATGCTCCATGCAATGCCCGAACTTTTCACACGTTAGGTTACACTCGTGTTAAAATGACTCCACTAATGGCGGAATGACATTAAGCCAATGCTACGGTTATGTTTCGCAGTCAATAAAACAACGTGATTTGGTAAACAAAAGGTACATGCATTTGGAACAGAAGTGTTTACAGAAGTCCATAAGAACACTGAACACTGAAGACATGCAGCAAAAATATTTCCATATTCATTAGGACACTTGTGAAAATGTGTCTACTGAAACGCAATGTGTGAATAGTTTGCTTTTTTGTGTTAAGTTCACTGCTAAATAAAAATAAAAGCCAACCGAAGTCAAAGATCTGGTGTGCGGTAGTAAAGTACTGTAGGCATGATATGACCATAAATAATAGCTGTGACTTATGCTCCCCCGCTGACTGCTACAGTGTATAATGAGGTATATAAAAAGTATAGAATGAGGCGTATAAACAAACAACAAATAAAGGAAGCTAAGAGAAAAGTAAAAGGAACAACTTCCTTGAACCTTTAGCAGACAAACCATGTTTGGTATCTCCCTGTTACTTAATACTGAACATTTTTCATTTTTTTTCTCCAACAGATATCGCCGTCTCATCATGGAGACATCATTTGATTCCCCTCCAGATTCCCAGCTGGTGGGACTGTGGTGGGCGGAGCTCCAGAGATAATTACCACAGGTTTCTACAGATACTTTGCAAAATGAGCTGCAACACTAGTAATACATCAACGTCGTGGAACAGGAAGACTTGGCATTGTAAGTGTATTTACCCACCAGATTTTTTTCCTTCCATTCTAGCTTCCCCTAATAAATCTCGGAGGGCCAGAAAGTCCATGGTTAGTTAAAGGTGTTTCAATCCATACAATTACACCTGCGGCACACTGGGGAATGGATGTAATTCAGCCAGCAGAAAACCCTACATATTTAAATGCACTGGATTGGTTCATTTATTTAGCACTTTTATTCTACTCCTGCATCTTGTCACCGATGTCTGCGTCATCCTTAAACATTACACCCAATTCGAAGACTGATAATATACAATATCCAGCCAACTTAGGAAATGATAAATGGTTATTTTGAAAAAGGTGTATTGTCATTGGATAGCTAAAAATTTTTCACCGGCCTGTGCAAACACATTTGGGAAAAGTACAGGAAACAACCATTTGATTCCCTACGTGAAAACTGCACAGTGCACTTTTTTTTTCCACACAGATTAACATGGTACAATATAAAGCCAACAGTTGCATTTGGGTTCTTGATTCACTAGATTTGACTTTATCAAATTAATTCATGAAACTATGTGAAACTAAATGCTGTTACGGAAATTTGAAGCTACAGTATCACCTTACTTCAGAAAGAAATGGCTAATTAACACTTTATGGCACTCACTGAGTTAGTAACAAAAGGTTTATAGAAGGCTTATCTGAAAAGTCCCGAGGTTTGGCCTTAGATTTATATATTTTGTACATAATTAACGGACTGCTGTTTTAAGAGGCTTCCACACACTATGGTGGCTCAGCTGTTAGCACTGTGACCTGATCTCCCCCAGGGCCGAGTCTGTCTCATTCCTGATTCTGTGTATGGAGCTTCTGCGTTCTCCTGTGTAACATGGGTTACCACCTACAGTGTAGAGATGTACGGATTGGTGGGTCGGTGTGTCTGATTTGCTCATAGTGTGTGACTGTGCCCTGTGATTGGCTAGTATGCAGGCGGGGATCTCCCCTGTCTTGTGTCCTATGATTCCTGGGATAGACTCACCACAAACATGTACCGGGTAATTGGTTATGAAATGTGAAAGGAATGTTTCGAAACGTTTTGCTATTAATAAGCACGCAGTTCATCTTGATCAGTTTACTTTTCTCTGTTAAATTTTTACCATTTCTTCATCTCTGTCCCTCTATGTTCCAGATGGCACTGTTGATGAGTATTAAGTGGGAGACTCGGGTTTCTCCCAAAAGTCACAATTGTGCATTTCAGGAACACTATTAGACAAATAACCTTTATGAATTATTCAGAACCTATATGGAATCTGGAGGACAGGTGCCTTCTCTGAAGATTTCAGGAGCCTACCTCCAAAGTAAGTGTAAGTTACATGACCAGCTCCTTGGCTCAAAAGTCAACCCATCCCGCACCCCCATATCGTGAAAAAGAGTCCTGCAGAACCCCCTCTCTCAGGAAATGAACAACTATGGGTTCTCTAGCCTTTATAGTCTTATTTGAGCATGACTTTGTGGTTCAGTTCTGTTTAGACTGTAAGTCACTGCTTCTCCTCTCACTTGACCACATACTGTAAAAGAGCTTTAAATTCAGTGTTCTTACCCCTTATGTTCCACACGTTTCCATGACAATATGAATTTACAAATACATGACTAATGAAGCAGAAGGTGAAAAATACACCGATAATAATACCCGTATTCATCAAAAAAACAGTTTGTTTCAGACGCCACCTCTACATGGAACAGGAGCTTGCTGTGGTCCGCATGAATGCAGTGAAACGCTTGTTAATAACAGTGAGAAGCTGCCTGTTAAAGGTGTTACTGGCATGGGGCTTCCAGGGAAACGCAACAACACGACGAACCCTTTAAAGCTCAGACACCCAATGGAGCTGAAACGGGGCTAACAGACACGTGCCAGGGCTGTGCTGCAGTTTCTTTGTCTGTGATGCAGCGTTCCAGCATCTTTTTGGATGGCCGTGTCGAAAGGCTTTCTGCTTTCACACCAGAAAACAGAGTATCAAATGCCACACAGTGCACCTATAATAATATACATTTTTTCCTTCTGTTTTTCTTTTTTTTGATTCCATTTACCTTTACAGAGCAGGTGAAATGTGCTTTCCGACTGGTTGAGAACTGGCTAAGGGTTGAACTGCTTATGTAATGCACAGCTACCAACAACCCTGTTAGCCTTATTGCCTGTCGGAAAAAGAAAATAAAACACTAACAGAAATAATACTGATTAAAATTAAATTTCAGAGGAACTGAAGAAACCTCTGGTCCAATTTTGATTGCGAGGAGACAATAAATTACAGCAGGGCACTTCCACGGCTGAAAACCCGTCCCAAAGTCATGGTCACAGGGGACGCCACTGAGTCACCGACAATCTCCCTACGTCACGATGCTACATCTACTTCCATCTCTCCTCCTGTCTGCGCATGGCCAAGCAGGCAGGCGGACGGCGCCATGTTTGGAAACGCTGGACTAATTTGGCAGCACAGAGACATGTACAGTGACTGATAATGTGAGACCTTAGTTTGCTCCTTTTTTCTCAAAGAAACAGTAAATACCTAAGACCGATATGCCTCATTTTTGATATAATACTCAACATACTGTATGACGCTTTTGTTTTTTGTTTTTTTCTTGCCCATGTACCTTTCCTCCCCTGAGGTTCCAAGCAATTGTCATGCAGACACGGCCCCCAGGCGGACCACGGTGACAGCAGGCACTCTTCCGGACAGGGGATGGAGCAGTGCTGAACAGCAGTGGGGAGAGGCCCAGAACAGAGCCGTCCAATCACAGGCCGCGACACTGGAGGTAAACAGGAGGACACAAAACTGTTCACTCACAAGCATTGATGCTAGGGGTTCACAGGGTGAGGGCATCAAAAACACAAACAGTTGTGCATCCACTGACAGGACATGGTTTTGACCATTTACAGGCTGTGATACTAAGAGGACATTCTCAGCACACATTGTTGACCATTCACATGCTTGGACACTAAAAAGACATTGGCAGCACAGTTTGGCCATTCACTGGCCACGATACTGTTAGGACATTCTCATAATACATTACTGACCATTCACTGGCCACGATACTGTTAGGACATTCTCATAATACATTACTGACCATTCACTGGCCACGATACTGTTAGGACATTCTCATAATACATTACTGACCATTCACAGACCACGATACCAAGAGGACATTCTCAGACTCAGAACACATTGTTGACCATTCACAGACTATGACACTGAGGGTTGTTGCTGGATTCAAAGCAATTGCAATTAGAATACCAAAAATTGCTATGTGGACCTCTGTACAAAGAAAAATGTATTGTGATATGTATGTATATATATTTTTTTTTACTTTTTATGCAATTTATTACATACTGCAAAAATAGACACAGAAACAAAATTGAGAATGTGTGGCAGGTCCAGAAACACTCTGGTCCAGGAAACATGTCAGTAGAGCAGTGTTTCCCAATCCAGTCCTCGGGGACCCACAGCCGGTCCGTGTTTTTGCTCCCTCCTAGCTCCCTGCCAGACAGTTCACATTTTCAGTCTACCAGGAGCTGGGAGGGAGCAAAAACGTGGACCGGCTGTGAGTCCTTGGGGACTGGAGTGGGAAATACTGCAATAGAGGAATCCATTACCGGATCACTGGCTCTGATCTCTATGCATTAAACATAAGCCAGGTAAGCCAAGTCCAAAACAAACATCATTGCTGCCTTCCAGTGATCCAAATCCCAGAAAGGTATTGATTGTAAAGACCTTCATTAATATTCCACACTTCCGCAGCTTGTTTGCATCGCTTCGTTTTATTTATTTTTTTGCTTTATGCCACTGGCTTTGGTGGACGACCGTGTCTTTGAAGGGGCCACAGTGCCGATGGACCTCTGGGTCAAACCATGTGAGGAGTCAGACTCATTAAAGCATGATCAGGGACAATTGAGACAAATGGGGAAAATCGAGGTTTAAATTAGATCGATGATTGCATTGCATCACTTCAATACATTACAAGTTATTGATCCTGAACCTGATCTAGTTAACCTTTTTTTCGCTGGCTTACCTAAGAGGTTGTTACTTTATAGTGAAAAAAGAATTAGCATGTAAGTATGTAATCTCCCCTCCATCCATCTATCCACCATACACAGCAGTGGGGCACACAGACACATCCATTTACAGCCTTATCCGCTGCAGAGTCGCCCCCCCCGGGGGGAGGATCCACCCTGGACGATGCTTAAGTCCTTCACAGCTCTCACAGGTAAATGCAGACACACAGACGCACACAGAAGGCAGGTTTTTTTCCCTTAATATTTACCTTCTTTTCTGTTGTGTGGGGCAGTGCTATCAGAAAGCTGCACGCAGTGTATTTCTCTGGTTTGGATCCCACCCCCACAGAAGAAGCTCAGGTTGCCATGACGCTGATCCTGCGGGCTGAGCAGGGGGGGCACCTGGCAGTCGGCCCAGTCCGTGGTCCTCCAGACGTACCTGGGGGAAACACAATGAGCTTTCCCAATTCTCACAGCCATTAGGGAAGCGGAATCGGATAATGACAGACAAGGAAAACAGAAGGACGGGGTCAGCGGCCCTCCGCTTTTTGGAAGCGGCCGCCGATGACAGACAAGGGACAACTGGACTAACGGACTATGGAGTACCGTGCCAACAATTAACGACAGCTTATTTGGAATCAAACAGTCTTCAGAGGTTCTTCGCCAGCATTCTCTCCAGCACTCGAGCAGAGAGCACGTGCAAACCAGACTAAAATGTGCTTGTACACCTTTAAAAATTTTATCGTTATCACTTTTTGCAGTTCCAAGGAATGCTCAGTAATGAAAATGCAGCAACTATGAAAAATGTGTGGCATAAAGCAATTGAATGGAGGTTTTAATAAGACAACAGTAATTTATAAAACAATTTTCCTTAATCATGTGGATGCTTGAATGCATTTAACCGAGCCTTATGGAAATAATAGCCCGTTTTCTCTCCTGCAGAGCAGCACAGCTTATTTGCACATTATTATCATGAGAGGAGAGAGAGAATTAACACCGTGTGTCATGATGAGCCAATCAGGAAGGAGATACATACATGGGACAACTAGGGAGGGAGTCGCCAAAGATGTTGCAGGCCTCTTTTCCTTCAAGAAAGGGACATTCCACTCCCCGGCCAATCGGGGGCCGCGTAACATAGCGGGTCCTTGTGCGGTATCCTGGGGACAGGTCTATAGCCCGACAGGTCTTTGAACATGGACTCCACGGTGACCAATCAGATGTCTCACAGTCTCTGGGCATCACACAGGACTGATGTGTTATAGGAGAAGCGTCTTGGACACATAGGCTGTGGATTGAGGGGTGATAAGATATTTTAGCATAAATTCATATAACTGACATACGTTTTAAAAGCATACCTTTGATCTTTGTGATGCATAATATTAAACAGGCATTAAATAAACAGACAACAAACAGGAATTGTTCCTAAAATACTGATTGGCCAAGTTTTGTTATATGACATCAGTAGGTCAAACTGGAAAGGTTTTAGTACTATATTTGTTTGGGATACCTGTCATTTTGGGGAAAAAACATTTACAGAGTAAATCAGTCCATCACCGTTATGGAAGCAACAAATGTATAGTGGAGTAGTGCAGGTCTACATCATTTCCCTTGGACGGCTGAAAGAGGAAGGTCTGCCCTGTATCTAACTCAGTCTAACCGTATGAGTCTCTTGGTGAAGGTCTTAAAAAAAATAAATGCGACTGGATATTAAAACACACCCATAAAAGGAGTTATTTTCACATTGACAAAATATGTATCGATACAGACGTTCTTGTCAGACTAACAATCTTTTATAACTATAACATCAATGTTTATGAGCAGCTGGAGAATTTTTCCAGCTCCTTCCGAAATTCACAGCCAACGGAGAGCTCCCTCTTAACCTCCCTTCAGCAAGAAGGGAAACCTCTTCATAATAAAATACACATTTTGTAAATGCTTTTATTTAATGACTCTCATGACCCTCTAAAGGGCAGATGTTTTATCAAAACTGTAAATATGAGTCTTATATAAAATACTTCACTACATTTTAACAATTTAATTAGGGATGCAGAACAGCGCGTGTGTGAGACGTTTATTTCTCTGTCATCTTACTTGTTAATTAGACTGTAATTAGAGAAACTGAATACAGTTCTACTCAGGTGGGAAATAGATATTCAAGACAATTACATAACAATGAGTCTTCAATTGTACTATTTAAAAGAGAATGTTTATTACACAATTTAAATGATGTCTTTAACGTTTGGGTCACGATATACTTTATGTATCTGGACCAGGTGCCATGTATGGAAGCAATTCAGATTCAGGGGTCACAGACGATAAGGGCCCTGGAACATGGCTATTTGTAATAGCGATGCTCTATTTATCCCTGTAGGGAAACTGGGTATATTTTGCATATCCCATCCTGGCCCATGTCTGTGGGTGGGAACCCAGGCTGAACATTTTTCCTGGGAGCCTACAGTAGCTTTAGCCCTGGTTGCCGGTACTCAGGTAGAATTTTTATCTGGTGTGGTTGTCCAGGCTACGTGAGCAGAGAGAATTAATGTCACAGCAGAAACTGAGACCATGAAATGCTGATGGTGGCGTTCACTGCCAATGGTAATGAAACAGTCGGGGACAATAACTCATTCCTCCTGGATACCGCCACCCTCTCATAGTCGATGGAACTTTCGGCAGAAAGTTCCAGGATTCTGGCAAGTTTCTAGTTCTGATGATGCATCTGCACAATCAACCATAGTAACAACCACACTGAAAGTCGACAGTGTGCATTTCCTATACTAACACCTAACAATGAATATTAATCAGGGGCGATTCCAGGATGTTTTGAAGGAGGGGAGGGGGGAGCATTAGAGGGGCCATAATTCATACAGAGGGGCTGACCTGTCTGGGGGCCAATCATCTTCTAGCTGTGGCCCCGCCCTTGTATATACCGCTGATATCCATTAGAGTTTTGCTGTGAGTAAAGCCTATCCGATGATGTACAGGGCACAAAGCAGATAATTACAATTACTTTAATAATAATAATTCACTGATGCGGTTTATTTATGCAGTGTCGAAACTGTGATATACTATTGGTGTTCAGCTCTACTTTAAGACACCCGCTTATCAGGGTCACTGGGGGAGGGACTCAGGACTATCCCAGGAAGCAATGCACAGATAATTATAAAACCCGTATTTTTACGATATTAAATCATTCAATCATGTTGAGTTCTACTTTAAGACACCCTTATCAAAATATATTAGCAATAAACATCTAATCTTTAAATATACCAGTGCACTTGGGGAAATGACTACATTATGATTCAATTTGAGATAATACCTAAAATTGGTTGAAAAAGTCTAAATTATAAGAAAATTATTGAGTTTCTCCCATCTTAACCTTGTGTATTTGTGGGCCCCCACCAAACTGGTAAAACTGACCCCTCCTACTGAGCTGGATTATTTTTATACATTGAAACACTCCAGAAAGAACTAGATTTAATCAGATTTATGAGGCGGAGCTGATAAGCAGAGACCCTTTTTTATTAAAAATGTGACCAACACTTCAGCAATAGACAATTTTTCTTTATGTAGGTATTTAGCAGTTTTTTCACCATCAAATGAATCTTTATCATAGTTTGTGGATTAAGGTTCCGGTGGATTAAGGTTCCGGTGTTATGTTAACATTGTGAGAGTAAAGTGTTTCTATGCAGAAAAATAACAAAATGTTAAAGTGCAGCCCTTAACAGTGTGTTGTGTGTTTCTGTCCATCCAGGAAAAGCTCTTTCACAGTCATGGTGTAGCACAAGGAGGCCAGGCCTTTCCACACCCAGACTGATTGGCCATTGATTCCATGTGACACATGTAACGGATCTACGAGTCGTGGTTAAAAACAACTGTATCAGTCCCTTTTTGTGGGAGGAAAAAAAAAAATTACTCCCAGCCAGCCTCACACAACGGTAGTGCAGGTCTCAGCACCCAGCTTGTGTGCATCATTGGCAAGGTGGCGATTAAGATTCACCCATTTCACAGGATGTAAAAATCTCCTGCAATGACTAGCAGGTGCATAACGAAGACCTCATGAAAGCACAGAGTTCAAAGTTTACTTACAGATGTGGACAAATTTGTTGGTACCCATCCACAAATAAACACAACTATCTCTGAAATAACTTGAAACTGACAATCGTTTAATGGCATCTCTTATTTATTCCAAATCTAACACAAATCAGATTTTGCTTTTGATTATTGATTCAGCTAAATATTTAATATAATCAAACAAATGAAAATGGCACGGACAAAAAAGATGGTACCCTCAATTTAATATTTTGTAGCTCCACCTTTTGCAGGAATCACTGGCAACAAGCGATCTCTGTACTTCACAATGAGACGTCTGCACTTGCCAAAAGGTAGTTTGGCCCACTCTTCCTGAGCAAACTGCTCAAGCTGTCTCAAGTTTGAAGGGTGGCGTCTCCGCACTGAAATTGTCAGATCTTTCCATTGATGTTCAATAGAATTAAGATCTGGGCTCATGGAGGGCCATTGAAGAATAGTCCAATGATTTTTTTCTTCAGCCATTCTTCAGGGCTTCTAGCTGTATGTTTTGGGTCATCATCCTGTTGGAGGACCTGTGACTGAGGCTGAGCTTTCTGAGACTGGACAGTATGTTTCGCTCCGGGATGCCTTGGTAGTCTTCATTGTGTCCTGCACAGATTCAAGGTTCCCGGTGCCAGATGCAGCAAAGCAGCCCCAAAACAAAACTGAGCCCCCTCCATGTTTCACAGTAGGTATGGGGTTCTATTCTTTTAAAGCCTCATTTTTCCTTCTGTAAACATAGAGCTGATGTGACTGGCCAAAAAACTTCCAGTTTTGTCTTATCAGTCCAAAGGACATTCTCCCAGAAACCTTGGGGCTTGTCAACTTGCATTTTGGCGAATTCCACTCTGTCTTTTTTATGTTTTTCTGTCATTAGTGGAGCCCTCCTGGGTCTTCTTCCATGGAGCCATTGTTCAAAATGTGACGGATGGTGCGATCAGAAAGTCATGTATCTTGGCCTTGGAGCTCAGCTTGAATGGTTTTGGATGGTTTCCTTGGCTCTTTTTCTACCATCCACACTGTCCTTCTGATCAACCTGGGGTTGCATTTCCTCTTGTGTCCACATCCTGGGAGGCTGGTTACCATCCCATGGACCTTATACTTTATAACAATATTGGCAACTGTGGTCACAGGAACATGAAGCCGCTTTGATATGCTCTTATAACCTTTACCTTTAACATTGTTGTCTATAATCTTCTTTCTGAGCTGCTCAGACAGCTTTTCCTTTGCTTTCTCTGGTCCATGTTCAGTGTGATGCACACAATGATACCAAACAATACAGTAGCATGTTCTTTCCCTTTAAATAGGCTGAATGGCTGGTGAAAAGCTTGAAGGCACCTGTGATACTAATTAAGGTTAAACACTTGGTTTGAAACATGACTATAATACAAGGATAAATATTCTATTTAGGGGTACCAACAAATCTGCCCATACTATTTAGCACATCTGTAAAACAAACAATAAATCATTTCTTTTCACAATTTTATTGGTTTACTCTATCACATACTAAAGGCATACAGGTGTACATTTGACAATTGGCTTTCACTTTTCAGGAGAAATGAAGCATTGTTTCAATGAGCTGTAAGGGTAGAAACAAATTTGTCCACGTCTGTGTATACATTTTACATACAATATACAATACTGAGCAAAAGTCTATTTGCTCAGAGAAAAACACGATTTGACATTAGGACATGTGCAGATTAACAATAACACAATAAAAACTATCAAGTATTTCTTCTGTTCTCCAAAAAGTTGATATCTTGCCGGACGGCTAGAAGAACAGCTTCAGGTCCTAAACCCCTCCTCAGGAGCACCCCAGCCATTCCATGTGTTTGTTAAATTTCACCACCAGCTCATTTAAATATTAAAAAAATCTGATGACATATTGACTAACCATATAAGGCGTGCTAGTGCTTGACTGAAAAAATACATGGCTGAATTGGACCATTGTTGCAAATACTTGGGGTGACCTTAGGTTTGACAAGCTGACACAGTTTGACAGACATAATATCATAGTTTTACACCAGTATGAAGATTAGTTAAACATCATTTTCTTTGAATGCCTAAGACTTTTGCTCAGTGTGGTTACCACTACCTTTATTTTCTTAATCATGATTGGCTAAATATTTGTGGGCTTACCTCAGCATGACATTTTTCCCGTCGTTCCTCACGCAGCGAACCTGCCGTATCTGGTACCCGATTTCGATGTCCCAGTCCTTGGGGTTGTGATGATGAGGGTGAGGATGATGATGATGGTGCTGGTGCAGATGATGGCCAGCACTACGGACGTTGCGCTGGACTGAATTTCCCTCTGAGGAATCGGTGCCGAGATCTGCTGTGGTTCTCCCCATCCATGGCTCTTTCTGGGGAGGAAGCCGGCACTGGCTCCAGTGCCCAACTTTCAGACTGTACTGGTATTCTGTCTCTCCGCTGGGGCAGGGTGGCGTATTATTGCAGGTTCTGGTCTGGGTGAGGTTGGGGCAGCTGGCGCCGCCATATTCGGGGGCAGCCAGGACTGCCCGAGTCCGGTACTGGAGGCCGACTCCGCAGGTCCTGCTGCAGTCGGACCAGGCGGAGAATTCGGACACCACACAGTCAAAGGGACAGGGGATGAGACAGGCTTGCTCTAGCGTTGGCTTCTGGGAAAAGGACTCGCAGACGCGATCTGCCACCGCGCTGCGGTTGGACTTGCGCACGCACTGGACGCTGCGCCGTTGGACACCATACTGCGCTGTGACGCACGACGCCGGCCGTAACCTCTGCTCACCCACAGGTGGGGGCGTCAGTGAGCAGGTGGCCCAGTCGGACACCTCCCACTCGAAGAGGTCACGGTGCCAGTCGCATACCTTGAAGCAACGCCTCTGGGCTTCAGGCCGGTCCCCAGGCCAGCAGTTGGAGTGGTGCGTGGTCCATCCCTCGGCATGAACGCACCACACGGTCCTGGTCTGAAACCCCCCGGGGCCACACTCCTCCCCCACGCATTTGCCCCACTGCCCTGAAGAGGGAGACAAAAAAAGAAAAACACTGCCCTCAGTATCTCACACTGTTCCTCTCAACTGGCAACCAAATACATAAGAAAACAAATCCCAAGATGGCACAGCTAGAGCCACACCTGCTCCGACTGGATTGTAGTTTTACTTAGTCTTAAAGCATTTTGCTACACAGATGTACAGTGTATGTTTGTATGTGTGATAATTAAAACTTGAAATCCCACAAAGCTTCAAACAGATACATGCTGCCCTGCTTTTAAATGAAAATAATTTCAAATGAAACCAAGATTTGTATGATGTGTATTTTAAAACAGAGAGAAGATTCTGGCTAGCAACATCGTCAGAGAGTACCTTCTGTTTCGTGGAGCCAAATGGTTTGTTGGCCTCTTTTCACTATTACAGCTACGTAAAACAATCTAAAAGTTTAGCAGGTACAGGGTACTTGGACGCCTGAGAGGAAAGTCTGAGTCACCGCAATCAGAAGCCGTGCCGATCACATGACTTTAGGCTGACTGCAGCGTACTGGCGAAGCACTGTACAGACGGACAAAATGTCCCGATGAGCAAGGGCTAAGTTCACATGGATCAGGTGAAAGAGGAAGTTGTGGACCTGAGTGATGTCAAGCGATCGCCAAACCAGAACCAGGACAGGAAGAAGAAAACCGTAAATCAGAGACCAAATGAAAAAGCAGAACCAGAACAAACCTGAATCACGGAACAAAAACAGAGGAGTAAGACATCAAACACCTAGAAAAAAGATAGATCAAGACCAAACCTTGACTACTGAGTAGGAAAAACCAAACCTCAGGACTGAGCAAAGGGCCATTGACCAGAATAACCTTAAATACATTGATTACATAAAGTCTGGGTGATTATGCATCAAGATCGACAACGGCAGGTGGCTGGTGAACTGAATTATGGACTGGAAGTGGCAGGGATGAAAGGAAAGAATTGGACCAAAACTGTAGGAAGGTTTAACAAAAACATGGGAGTGACAAAAATATTTCTGGAGTTATTTCAGGCACAAGGAAAAGCACAGAAGAAACACAAATGCTGCTGGGTAACTGAAGGGGTCACAACAAGGTATTTAGTCAAGCATCTCCTCCGGCTAAGAGGCAAACCAAAACAAAGCAGAGAAGCCTGCTAAAGAGCCACAGGTGAAGGCAGTGAGCATCACCTGACTCACCCCTTCCCTAGCATGTAAATGCCGCCCCCCACCCCAGAGGTCACTCAGGCATTCATATCTCAATATTATCTTGTGACTAGCAGCTTGCTGGCATTTTAAATATTATTATAACTCAAAGCCATTCAACTGCAACCTCACAGTCTGCTGATACAATCTGCACGACAAACAAACTGTGCTTAAAACAACCCTAGATGCATTTTTACAGCAATTTAAGTGTTACTTTTCCCATGCATCCAGCATATTGTGCAGGTGACTTAGGCCGTATATATATATATATATTTTTTTTTCCTCCAAAGTAAAAATGTAGGCAGAATGCAACACAAACAGTAGATAACAGAAAGCCATAAGTGTAACTCAAAGATGCACGCAGATTATGCACCGAGTACGCAGAGTACTGTATGCACCTGTCGCCGAAACGATCCAGACAGAGGCGGCAGCTCAGCACTGAGGCTCCCTCTGCACGTTCAAGAGCAGTGTTTGGCATGCAGTTAACGTGCAGGCGTATGAAAGTGTGAGAGCTACGAAACTCACTCTGGGTGCTATTAAAATAAACACCAATAAGAGTGACAGCATAGTCCAAGCTACTGAAAAACTGAAGTAACTGGAATCTATACCAAGTGTGGAAATGACTTAATCACACTGCCTTCAGTGAGAAACACATGATGAATTATAACATTTTTAGACTTCATTAATTCTACCTATTCTTGAAATAGCTTGAAATTCTGGAAGAATGTTTGGGAGAACAGGACTGCTTTATTCTTACAGAAGCTATGCTCTGTCACACACTCTGGAGTAAGCTTGCACAATTATTACGAACAATTTCCGAAATGTTAAGGATTAGGGCAAAAGACAGGGAACACTCTAGAAGGGATTGCAGGGGTCATTGCACACTCGCCCCTCCCATGGGCAACTGAGATACGCTAGTTAATATAATTGTTTGTCTGCGCAATTTGTGAGGGAACTTACAGAACACGAGGAGAAGATGCAAACTCCCAACACACACAGCAGGGACAGGATTCAACCCACCACCTAGATTACGCAGTACTGACAGGGCTGCCAGCATGTGCTGTGAAACCACTGTAGGTTATCCGAAATGCAGCAGCAGGTCAGGTATTCAATCAGCCAAAACACTCTCATGTTCCACCTCTCATCTACCTCCATTGGCTCCCTGCAGGTGCTCACATCAAGTTCACGTCCTCAGTGCTGGCTTTTGTGGCTGCTAATGGAACGGTCCCTACCTCCATCTCACCCTCTGCGGTCAGCAAATGAACGTCGCCTGGTGATTCCTGCACCACATGAAAACAAGTCTCACACCAGATGTCTCTCAGACGTGGCTCCTAACTACATCCGCTCCATCACGACGAAGAAACATCTCTTCAGGGAACACCTAAACAAACCTCATCCTGCTGCTGATCCTCGCTGGTTCTCTGTCTTTGTTGACTGTTCTTTCGAAATGGTTTCACTTGGCTCTACTGGAGGTGTCAATCATGTTATTCTTCCTCTTTGTTAATAGATTCCCCTGGTGTTATTTGAATAGCTTTAAGGTAGGCGCCCAAGGTCAAGATGACTTTCAAAGTAATGTCAAAGAAGGACAACATCATTCAGTATCAATCTTACATAAGACGGCCCCAGAACACTACTCTTTCAGGAGTCTGAGTGACTTGTGGCTGTTTGGAACATGACAACGCAGCAGACAACAGCTCAAACAACCGTAAAGAAAACATGTCACCCAAGGTAATCTGCTGGTGTTGTCTTTGTGAACGCGCTGTAAGGAAACATTGTTGTGCTGGTAATTTGGAAGCAGCTTGCCTTACAGTATGTCTCAAAGGCTGGGGCATTCAAAGGCAATTTCACACGACAACGGCACAGTCTGTCTGTGGGGCAACTGAAAGATCTGGCTCCAACAGCACACCTATAGCCCGTTGATAGCCCCCAAACAGCTACGACCTCTTCCTCTCTCTTACAATCCCTAACTTGAATTTACTGCCCCAGCTGACACGGCAGTCTGCTCTGGAACCCAATCTTGCGACTGCACCGCCCACTGGGCCCTTCTGCCCGCCCCCCACCTCCCTCCGACAGGCCCACCACGAAACTGCCGAGCAGATGTCACACGAACACAGACCTCCGCTGTCTCCCGCCCCTGGCTCCTGTCAAATGATGGATCGCAGCCCCTGCTGCCTCCCACTCTCTCCCCACCCTTCTCTTCCCCTCCCATTTCTCCCCTCTAATTTCACACCAACCCTGATACTGAGAGAACCTAAGTATTTATCCTTGTTTCCCATCACCCACAAGGTATCTGCCACCACTTTCCACTTAAACAAGGCCTATTGCAGACTGTTCCCGGTCCACCACATACCTGACGACTGCATTGGAGGCTACAAAACCAACTTAGACAGCCAGTCCCAGGCCACCGATCCCCTCTCACCAGTTGGCTCTTCTGCCCTCATCATGGCTGGATTGGGACTAAATTTCAGCAGGGCGGGGGTGGATCCCCATAGTTAATTTTCCCGGCCCACATACTCATCAGCCCACTGAGAAATTGCCCGATACGCCAGATGGCCAGTTCAGCCACAGCCCTTACCCTCCCAACCGAAGTCTCTTTTTCACAAAAGCTGGCAGTCATTTGGCCACATCCCTCTAATCGTTCATTTCACTTTCTCTGCACCTCTGCTGCCTTTCTGCAGCTCCATCCATCCTCTCCTTAGTGGGACCAGCATTTATCTCACACTGAACCCATCTACTTAGCACAAACCTGAAGCTTCCTCCCCAGTCAATCAGAAAAAACCTTCATCGCTGGCTCTCTGGTTTATTTAATCTATAGATTACTTCCATTCTCTATCATACTTACCATTCCATCTCCCCTTGCTACACTCAAACTAAAGCAAGACCTAGATTAAAATCAGAGCTAAAGTCAGGGAATCCTTCTGCCTTCATCCTTCTTTTCAATCTTGCTTTCCAGCTAAGGAGTATTTTAATAGTAAAATTTACTTAGTTGCTAAGGAAGCCTTCCCAAAATCCATCTATGCACACATAAGATAAGTATGTCTACTCAATAACTACTCTTGGTTGCAACAGCATGGGTGGTTTGGGGCCCTGTGTCTGTGGCGTGTGTATGGTCACCGCATGTTTTGTGAGCTCTCTCTGGGTATTCAGGGCCCCTTGTCTAAAATCCTGCAGTTAGGCTTACTGGTACTGTATGTCTAAATTGCCCGTAGAGTATGATTGTGTGTGGGTGTATGTGCCCAGTGATTGACTGCCTTCCATTTCAGGGTTTACACCAGCCTTGTGCCTTATGATGGGACAGACTGTTTTAGCAGGAAATTTCCCCCCTAAAAAAGACACCTTGCCATGTTAATGATTTCTTAGAGTAGTGCAACAGTGGTCTGGCAAACTTAGAGTGCGCTCTGTCTCAGCACATAGTGTCTCTAAAACTGAGTTATTATTGTCACTGTTACCTCTCTTCAAGCTGAGGAACAGTATATGCAATCCAAACCTAATTATCTGCATCATAAACTCATAATTACAGACACTGTACGTGCCCAGAAAAAGATAGCTGTTTTGATTATGCTCTTCCTTACATTAGCATCATTTTATTTCAAATCCACCTGACCATTATGACTCACTTTTGTGGTATTGTTATCTCTATGTGCTGAAACTTCAGGTTCGACTCCCCTGATGAGACTTCAAAGATGACATTTGATGCATAAAATTTTATGGTGATGTCACAAAAAAACTAACAGAACAAATAGCATCTAATTGTACCTCAGGTAATGTTTAAATATCACCCATTTAATTCACCCAACAGAGAAAAATCTCACGC